CGCCCCTGCATCCCAATACTTGTGGCAATATGGTGTATGTGTTGGGCAGTTGTAAAGGGGTTAAATTACGGGTTGGGAAGGCTCCCCCTAGTGGCCATTTGTATGTTGGAGAGATAGCATCCTGCTGCAATAAAGCTAGTCATGCTAAAGTCTGGACTGAGGTCTAAGGCCAAGCGGATTAGATTTTGGATTGAAAATGTATGTACAGGCAGAAATCATTTATTTTGTTACGTCAGTTAATTAGGTAAAATTTACGTTAAAGTGATCTACTCTTTTTTTTTCTTTATTTAGAGTTTTTGAGGGGTACAGGGTTTCCTTAGGGTAGTTTGGAGTATTCTTGTAAATTTAGTTTTTTTTTTTTTCTCCTTCCTGTTACAGTTGAAGTTTAACCTGTTTATATTTTACCTTCCCTGGTTTCTTCCTCCTTTTCTCATAAACGTGTTAATAGCATTTTGAATTAAAACCTTCATGATTTCATTACATATTTTAAATTATACACACTAATATGGATCCCTGTGCTTCTCTATGCAATGCAGACAGATCATGGTTGGTGGGAGGGGCCAGCAGGGTGCTGTACATAGCTTCCTGAAAACATCACAGCACCCTGCCCCAGTACACCCATCAAGAGCCTTCAGACCTGATACAAGAAGTGGGCTGGCTCATGGGAGGAGTTATGCAAATATCAAATTTCCTTGCTGTAAGGATGTCAGTTTGGTGGAGTGGGTGTTCCTAAGCAAGCTTAATTTGCATGCTCACTACCCTATGTAACACCCACATGGGATGCTGAGACTCCATGATATACAGAACCGAATCCATGAATAAAAGGAGCACACTAGGGACAGTCAGGCTTGGGAGAAAAGGACTAGATGATATCAATGGGCTTTCCTGCACCACAACGCACTGGTGTCTTGCTATATGTTGCTGCAATGCGTATGTGTTGCCTTACTGCATTGCGACGCGATTCAGAATGAATCACACCACAATACATCAACACATGTACATGTTCATTCTTATGCTGCATTCATACTGATCTGAGCATTTTTCAGCCATTTTTTCGTCATGCGTTTTTTTCAGACAATTTTGAGTGTTTTTTTTGGGCAGATTTTCAAATATAGGCATTTTTCATTTAGGAGATTTTGCTGTGGCCAATAGAAATAGAAATAGCTGCTATTTAAGCAGAAAACACCTGAAAAAATGCTTGACAAAAAAGCTCATTCCCACTGTTCAGGTGTTTTCCATTTAAGTCTATGGAACAAAACGCTCAGATCTTACTGAAAAGTAGCGCAGGTACTTTTTTGAGCAATAGACGCTTTTGCTACAGGCGACGGAACACTCAAGTGTGAACAGGGGCCATTGGAAATAATGGGATATTACTTGTTGAGCGTTTTTGAGCTGAAAAACACTCACGTGTAACCAGGATTTAAATTGCAATGCAAAGACTCTTCCCAAAGCACATGCGGTTTTGCGAACCAGAATGCATGGTAACACACTAGCATGCATTATGGTGCGCTGTCTTTCAAAATAAAAATATATAGAGATAGAAAGCCCATTCAAATGAATAGGCTGCTCTTACACAATGCCTGTTAAATGCTTTGTGTTAATGCATTGCAAAGTGTATATGTAGGTCCCAATCTACTTTAATAACACTTCTACTTTCAGTGAAATTCAATCGACAGTGTTCTGCCTATAGACATAGAAACAGCAAAGCGCAATCACAAGACAGTATGGAGAAATGTATGAACGTATGGTACGCAGATGTGATTGGCAAGTGCCTAATTCACTTGTGCTAACAGAGACTATAAATATAACAAACCTTTTTTTTTAATTTAGAAAGAATACCACATTGACATGACTATATATCTAAAGTAATGAAAAAAAAAATAAGTTGAATCTGTAGTAATTTATAGGATGTCTCTGTGGAGGTTCACAGTTTTTTTTCCGCTGCTTCTGTAAAGTTAAAAAAAATGTAAATGGCTCTATAAATAGAGACAATTTTTCCTTTAATACCAAATGTTTATGAGTATGTGGGTTGTAAGTTTGGCCCTCACCACCCTGGGGGGGAAGTGAAGGGGATTCAGAACCAGACAGCGCTTTGCTTACTTTGGACACCGAATTTATTACACATTCTGTACAAATTCCACCAGTTGCCACATCTTATACATGCACAAAAGAGAAAAAAAATAATAATGTTCAATTCAATATCAAAAAATAAAATAAAAAAAACAAAAAAAAAATAAAAATTCTTGGCGCGTTCTAGACATTAAAGTGCAACATGAAACGGGACGCCAGCAGCACAAGGAATAATAATAATAAAAAAAACACAATAAATATATAATCCAACCAATAAATAAGGGGAAGGGAGGGGCCGCAGGGGGGGCGGCTGTGCAGTATTACAAACGGCGGGGGGAAGACAGCGCATTTGGGGGTTCGGGCAGTCTCTGGTTGTTATTTACAGAAAATAAATACATCTTGTAAGTCCAAGTTCAAAGATCTCCGCTGCACTCCCCGCTCTTATTTTTTACGGATCTATCTCCTTTTTTTATTATGTTCTCTTTCTCCGATAGGTAAGGAGGCTCCAGTTGAATTCTCATTGCGTCCTGTGGACAGAAGGAAAGTCGGTTTAGTGTAAGTATCAGAGCCCTTTGTTAATCAAAACTCAGTTATTAACATCATTAAACTGTCTGCCAATTGGTCAAGCACCTTCTACCTTGATACAAAACATGAAGGATTTAAAAGGCACCTATATCGAGACTGACATTACTGAAAATGCTTGCTGCTTTACTGCCTTTGGCTTCAGTATATTGAGACAAGATCAGAACCAGAACAAGCTTGAAGGTCAGTAAGACGTTTTCATCAGCACGCTGGTTCAGATTCAGTGACTGAAAAAGCACTGAAGTCATTGGATTGTCATGACAGCCAGAGAGCTAGTATTTCCAGAAGTGGCTGCATTCATAAAGCCCCCCTACAGAGGCTAAAGTTCTGACTAGTTTTGTTAGCCGACTTGGGAGCAACCATGCTTTCCATCCAATGAGCTACCTTCCCCTGAAAATCACAACCAAATAAGTGCTGAAGCCAGCGGATCATCATGAGAGTCTGGGCATAAGTGTTTTCAGAAGGATGGGTCTGTAATAGCCACCTCCATAAAATTTCCCTACAGCAACTAAAATTCAGAGGCCTGCAGAGAATCTCGACTTTATGCCGACAGGCATGGGAACAGCCGTGCCAAAGTTTCACTTTTTCCGGCAATTGAATTGCCGCTACCGGAAAATCACGAAGGGTTGATTGTTGCCGAGTGGGAATACAGAACAGCAGGCAGCAAAAAAAATAAAAAATCTGGCATAGCTTATTTTTTTTGCGATAACCTCAGAGCGCTTCCATCTAGTGAAACGCGCGTAAAGACTCTGGCACAATCAAAAATCTGTTACTTGCTGTGTGCGCAGTGACATCACTGCAGTATAAAAAAAGAAATTGGATTTGCTTTTTTTTTTTTTTTTTTTTAGTGGAAGAACACTTGGATCCCTTCCTAACACATAGCATTAAAAATGTGTTAAAACATTAATCAAAACTCACAAAAACCATTCTAAAAATTCCCATGAATACACACTATAATCAAAAGTTACATGCAAAATGACCGTAAAAAACAATTGGACAATCCTGGAGTTCTGGTCGGGGCTAATAGACTTCTTAGAACTCAAAGCTATCCATTCATGGCCCGTCTAATAAATAAACCATGTGTGCTTTTCTGGAGGCGCAGGAAGCGTACAGCACATCCTCTATTATACTTAGAGGATACTTTGTTGCCACTGACACATTGGAGGGAATGGGGGGGGGAACAGAGAGTCTTCACATCTGCGTTGGGCTCAGCTGATATATAAATTGTATTAGCCGTGGTTTTGGTGGATCTTCATCCAAAGTGCACTTAAATTTCACTGTCTTGCACTAAAATTTGCAGCCCCTTTGGAAAGTAACATAGAAAGTCAGCCCACGCAGAGGGAGAGAGAGACCAAAGATAAATACCGCACTGGGATGAGTTGACTGAACGAGGATCACACCACGTTTTCACAGCTAAGTCATCCCTGCTGAAGTTTTAGGAAAACGGGGGAAGCAGTTAAGGCGTTTCCTGTAACAACCAATCAAATGCAGCTGTCATGTTTTTTGCCTTCGTAAAAAAACAAAACCTAATGTTTGAATGGCGGCTGTGGCCAATGCCCTTTCTTTATTTGCTGCAGTTTACCTATAGTTTTATGAAACACTGGATCAGCAAGGAACCAATCAGAAATGAGCCTCAGAGATGCAAAGGGAGCTTCTGTGGCAACCAGATTACTATGAGCCAATGGCAACTGCTGATTTCACTGTCTGCAAAGGAAGTGATTGAGTGCCTGCCGGTGTGCTGAACCACCCATTGCCTTTCTGGGACGTGACAGTGAGATTTCCCCACTGAAGTCCTTGGCTCTAATCTTGCTTCATCTGCTGGAGATGGGTGCACCTCAATGTAACCCAATGGGAAACACAGACTTTTTCCTAAGGACTGCCAGCGAGGGGTGGAGCTGGGAACCCACAGAAAAGGGTGGAGCAGAAAGAGTTCCACTTTTGAGTGCCCAGGTTTCCCTGTTACTGTGAGTTTGCCGATCCGCCCCTTAGGAAGGATCTGCATTTCCCATTGGGTTACGTTGAGGAGCATCATTGGGTTGGTGACCCATGTGGCTCGTTCACAAACTCAGAAATCAGATTCAAGTTTCACCCTTTTAAAAAAATAGTGATTGAGGGGGAGATAAAGAATACTTAATACTAAAATATATATGTCTCCTGGAAATGCTATTAGCCTGGTTGTCTCTGGCACTTGTGAGTCACTGATGAAGAAAGAAGCCGAGATGCCTAATCTACATACTTGTTTGAGGTCAGTGACCTAGAAAGTACTGAAACTGTTGGATCAGCATGACAGCCAGGAAAACAGCATTTCCTTTAAGCAAAACTCTTTAATGGAAAACCAGCCCAATGTGTCATCTCAGAGGTCTGTCTACTGACCTGATGCCCAGCTCTTCCCACCACAGTTCTGACCCAGGCGGGTCCTGCAGGCCCTCTAGCGCCGCCCGCTCTTTCCTCTTCCTCTTGTCTTGCTCCTTTCTCTTCCCTGGCTTGCCCTTCTTCTTTTTGCTGGGGATTTTCGGTGGGGGGTCTTTGAAGCTCTGTGATTTGTGGGTCTCCTGAGTCAGCTGGGTCGTAACTCCCTCCTCCTCGCCAGGCAGGCGCAGGGTGTTAAAGTTCTTGACGCTGGGGATGGGGCGGGGCAATTCATCAGGCACTGACCGTATTTCTGCCGTGTTCACCCCTTCTATTAGATTCTGCAGGAAGATCCTGCGCCGGAGCTCCTGGAGGGACCGTCCTTTGTCGTGGAGCAGCTGATGTTCAGAGACCGCCCTCCTTCTGCAAGAGGAGAGAAATGATACTGTCAATAGGTGCAATTACCTGGTTCATAAAAACGCAAAGCATCATAAACTGTACAGTAAGAGTCACAATTCGAGATTAGATTTCTATGAACACCATCTTAAAGCTGACTGTCATTTTTTTCATGATAATAACAGCCTGCCAAGTAATTATTATTATACAGGACTTATTTAGCACCAAGAGTTTGTGCAGCACTTTACAATATAAGTAATATGTAAGTGTATCACTTCCAGGCACCTATTGCTTCTCACAGAGATCACAGTATTCTCCCTGACAACGCCTTCATCTGCTTTTTTTTTCTCCAGAAAGACGGAACCATTTTTGTTCAGGCATCATCTATTTCCTGAACTGAGATGCTAGCTCAGAGATAACACAGTCCTGCTACCTATGCAGTTCTTTTTTTTCACAACTATCAGACACAGATCAGCCCCTGCTGCTGCCTTTCATCTTGTTACAACTTACAATGTACAGTCTGATCACTGGAGAAGAGGAGACTGGGGAAATGCTTCCTCCTGCCTGCAGCAGACAGATTACATCATCTCAGCTTAGGCGAAGTCACAGGACAACGTTTTAATGATAAATGTTGGGGCATTGGTGAAAAATGATATTATAACTGTATATTGTGATATGCCAGGAGTTAAAGTTATTGGTAATTTTTACTTTAAACAAGTATTCTTTTTGCTAAAAAAAAAGTCTCCTCTCCTGAATCAAGAGCAAGTTTCCTCCTTGTGGGTGGGTAGGGGGTGGGTACAGGCACAATTTATTTTGTATGTCTAAATGAGGTGGTCAGCTCCTTACAGTGGTCCCAGCTTCAGCTACTGGCTGTAATTAGAGAAATGTGATTTTTTTTTTTCTAGTGAGAGTTCTCAATAGTTCTAGGAAAGTGTAAATGAAGATGCAGCGGTCGGATCCAGTGAAATGGATGAGAGGAAGTGCAGCGTGTGGTTACACAGGATAATCCAAAGTGTTTTCACATATGAGAGACACATCCTGCTCCGCTGTGAAACCCACGCGAGAGACAGCGCGTCTCCCATGGATGAGACAGGATCCGAGGCCAGAGCTGGCAGGCGCACAGCCACCCTGATCTGCATAGAAAATTATGTCTGACCTCAAAATTACACACAAGCTGTGTAGATCCTCCCACACACATTCACACCATGGCGTGACTTTATAGCAGCGTGTATTAATTTCTATGGGAAATTTGATTAGTTAGCAAGACTCCAAAGATCTAGAGGAATGGGGGCCGTAGATGGGCAGAGGTGTCAACTGATTCTGAGACCTGCTCTAATCTGTTTCAGATTTGGGAGGAATTGGTAGGGTTGGCTCAATGAAAGTCTTGTTGATTTTTCTCCGTAAAAAAGGGAATGATTAGTTTTTGACCAATTCGAGAATTTCAGCCTCTGATCCATATAACTTGTTAATGGACCAGATTGGTCTTGTTGCTTGCCAATCAGGTTGTGTGTAGGTTGACCATGTGGTTTTATGCTCATGTAGAAGACAAACAGTGATCAGCACTGATTTGCATCAATGACTAATAATCAATTAATGCTAAAAATAAAAAAAGAAGGAAAGAAGGAAGGAAGGGAGGGAGAGAGGGAAATAGGAAGGAACGCAGAGAGGGATGAATGAAGAAAGAAAGGAAGAAAAGAATGGAGAAACATAGAAAGGAAATAAGGAAGGAAAGAAGGGAGATAGTAAGGAAGGAAAGAAAGCAGATAGGAAAGAAGGGAGATAAGAAGGAAGGAAAGAAGAGAGGTAGGAAGGAAGGAAAGAAGGGAGATAGGAAGGAAGGAAAGAAGAGAGATAGAAAGGAAAGAAGGGAGATAGGAAGGAAGGAAAGAAGAGAGATGGGAAGGAAAGAAGAGAGATAGGAAGGAAAGAAAGAAAGAAGAGAGATGGGAAGGAAAGAAAGAAGGGAGATAGGAAGGAAAGAAGGGAGATAGGAAGGAAGGAAAGAAGGGAGATAGGAAGGAAGGAAAGAAGGGAGATAGGAAGGAAGGAAAAAAAGAGAGATAGAAAGGAAAGAAGGGAGATAGGAAGGAAGGAAAGAAGAGAGATAGAAAGGAAAGAATGGAGATAGGAAGGAAGGAAAGAAGAGAGATAGGAAGGAAAGAAAGAAGAGAGATGATGGAAGGAAAAAAGAAGGGAGATAGGAAGGAAGGAAAGAAGGGAGATAGGAAGGAAAGAAGGGAGATGGGAAGGAAGGAAAGAAGGGAGATGGGAAGGAAGGAAAGAAGGGAGATGGGAAGGAAGGAAAGAAGAGAGATGGGAAGGAAGGAAAGAAGGGAGATGCGAAGGAAGGAAAGAAGAGAGATGGGAAGGAAGGAAAGAAGGGAGATGGGAAGGAAGGAAAGAAGAGAGATGGGAAGGAAGGAAAGAAGGGAGATGGGAAGGAAGGAAAGAAGAGAGATGGGAAGGAAGGAAAGAAGGGAGATAGGAAGGAAGGAAAGAAGGGAGATAGGAAGGAAAGAAGGGAGATGGGAAGGAAGGAAAGAAGGGAGAGATGGGAAGGAAGGAAAGAAGGGAGATGGGAAGGGAAGGAAAGAAGAGAGATGGGAAGGAAGGAAAGAAGGAGAGGGATAGGAAGGAAAGAAGGGAGATAGGAAGGAAGAAGGGAGATGGGAAGGAAGGAAAGAAGGGAGATGGGAAGGAAGGAAAGAAGGGAGATGGGAAGGAAGGAAAGAAGAGAGATGGGAAGGAAGGAAGGGAGATAGGAAGGTAGGAAAGAAAAAAGAGATGGGAAGGAAGGAAAGAAGGGAGATAGGAAGGAAGGAAAAAAGGAAGAAAGGAAAGAAGGAGAAGAAAGGAAGGAAGATAGTATATCTGGGATTTCCAATCCCCTCTTTTTCCTTCTCTTTCTCTCCATCTCCCTGTTTATCCCTTTCTTCTCTTTCCCTCTTGCTTTTCCTTTTTCTCCTCCTTTCCCCATCCAGCACAGACAATACAGCATTGATGTGTATGATGTTCCCAGGGACACGGCTCACATTAGTGTTAGTGAAAGGTGTAGATTTAATTACACTTCTCTCTTTAGGGCTACATGTGTACACTTGATTCCTTTCCATTTTACTTCTATATTTAACTAAAGAATTACTTCAGAATTAATCCTCTGATGTGGGTGGAAATTTGATTCCTCAAAGGACTGCATTTTATATTAAAACTCTGAAAACTCACTGTGCAACCAACAGCAGTGCAGCCGCTGGCTTGGATGGGGCCCAAGCTGTCCGGTGCACATTATTTGCTGGCCTTGGGAAGGTTTCCTATGACTCCCTCGCGCACTGGAATAACTAAATAAGAAAGGGCTCTATAGGAAAATTGTTATGGTCCAAAACCAAATCTTAAAGGCAATCCTAGAGGTACACACTAAGGCTACATTTGTTACTGCTATCTGCAGTCCCAATGCATTTCCATCCTTTGACATGAACTATCACAAATCCATAAAAGCTGCTCCAGAAGTACTAATTCACTGCTGGCATGTGTGAGATAACATCCTTCTGCAGCTAAACTCTTAAGGCTGAACCAGGAAGCTCTTTGATTAATTTGTGTTCTCTCAATGGCGTATACAGCACATGGACACGTACATATGTTGTATGTATATATACATAAATGAATGAAGACACAGCTAATCTCTTACACTCTATTGTTGAGTCCCTGTGTTGGTCTTCCATGTGCGGGAAATGTGCAACTGAGGATGAAAACCGCCAAACTACAATGTGGTAGGAGACTCCGCAACATCTTGAAAGCACCCAAGACCTGCAAAGAATTACATCTGTTAAAATATGCAATCATTGGGATTAAGGATATAGAAGTGGTGAGGTGGGCACACGTTTTTCAGGGTGTTAGAACTGGACTGCATTTTAGCTGTTGCAAGGTCACATCTATCTATCTATCTATCTATCTATCTATCTATCTATCTATCTATCTATCATCTATTTATTTGTCCATTGACCTATCTATCAATCAACACAAGATTTTACTCTTGAATAAATGTAAAAATCAATCATTTCTTCACCCACTAAACAAAATTGCAACACATTAATGCCATAAGATGTCTTAAGAGACAAATCTATTTTTTGTCTTACATCCTCTGCATCCTATATTTTCACTTTCCGATATTTAACTAATAGTATGCAGCAGATTTTCTCACATTATCTCTAATCTGATATCACAAGATGTCTGCATCATTTAAGGCATTCTAGAGAACACTGAAAGGGGACCACAATCATGGAAACAAGAGGAACGATAATCAATTAACCAATCAAGTAATTCCCAGAAATTTGGAGTATTCTGTCACCTCTGGTTAATGGCAAGATTTTTGTTTTTGCCAAATGGATGCATGCAAATTTATCAGTCGGTAAAGAATGACACAATTCATAAATTCAGATAATCAGGAATGGTATGATTCTTATGATTCTCTGTATGTAATCATTCACCAAGAAAATGAAATGTCTAAGTAGACCATACATGGAAATGGAAACCAGACACAATCCCCCCTTCATTGCTTGCACACAATCTGCCATGTTCATGCTTTCACACGTTAGGTTATTACAGTAGTACATTACAGTGGTACTGCAAGGTGGTGATTTAAGGTCCACATATATTTGCAACTGAGACCTCTGCTTTAATTAAAATGTTAAAATGACATAATATCTGCTGGCCAGCAATGCTGAGAAAGTTTATAGCATCCTGTGGATGATTTTGGGAGGATTTTATTTTTTTCTAAATACAGTTTGAAACCATTGCATGTCAACAAATTAAATGTAATTTTCCATTTCAAAGGTGATTATTCTGAAGATTTTTTTTCTTTGGTACTATTAATCATTAAGAAGTATATTCCACATTATATTTGTTACCGTCCAAAATTCAAAAACTATAGGAAGGATCGATCAGTTGCTCTACAATTGGACAAGTCAAATAAGTGATTGAAAAATTAGTTCCTCCTGTTTGCTTTTTGTTTAGGCATATGTTAGCAGAGAAAGAAACAAATAATTCCAGCACAAACATCACTTTCCCAGAACAATGGTATCTTTTCCCACATCTGCTGCAATATTGCTGGTTTACAAATGTATTATAAAAATTTGGGAATTTGTATTTATTCTATATTATTAATATATATATATATATATATATTTGTGTATTTATATTAAATAAACAAACCTTGACACTAATAAAACATGGTAGATGTCTTACCTGTCCAAGTCTTCCAAAATGTGGGATCAGATATTTCAGATCAAGGAGAGAAACCCTGAAATCAGAAAGATTAAGAATGTAAATAATGTATCCATCAATAATACGATGATAACACTCACTCTTGGTTTACAATAGCCTAAGTGCTGCATTACACAGTCATTGCGTTTTCTGCCTTGCAGCTGTCGGCAAAGTTGCAGTGTGCCCTGATAATCAGCAGGGCACGCTGTGACTTGTAGTGCCCCGGGAGGCAAAGTCTTCTATGATTTGCTTCCAACAGTAGATTAATTCATGACAGATGGCTTTGTGTCCAGTGGCTGTAACACAGAACACAGGAACAGTATTTGTATAAAAATGTAAAATCATGCCAGTAGTTTTTTTAATTGGCATTGGAGTGGGAACTGTAAGTTAGGCAGAGCAGTATAGTTAATGGCCCATAGGGGGTGTCCTTGCAGCATGTTTTTCTTCACTCACTAATAGGAGACATCACTGGGAACAAAGACAAGTTTCATGGAGGAATTTCTTTCAGAGCCTTTGCATGCCAACCTTGTCCTGTCCTGTCTAGGTAGGCATGGAACTTTGGCAAACTGTACCCACTCTTGCCCAACCATACGGAATCCACTAATCATCACGCTACATCAGCGCTGCCACCCAGAATAGGGGGCTTCAATTCACATCAAAAATTCAAGCCAAAATTGGCACCTTGGCATAACAAAAATGGGCACCTGTGCCAGGGCTTAACAAGATGCACCAAGTATTCTGTCACCCCCAACTGTCCTATGATACCTGACAATTGTTTTACAGTACAGATTCTGTCCTCACACCCACCTCAACCTTTACCCCACTGGACTGTTTTTCTAATCAGATGACACGCCAATAAAATGTCCTTTGCACAATGCTGTCCAAAAAATGCGACAGCATTCTGACCAAAATCAGAGAACCATTCCTTACATTCCGCATCCAAATTCTTGAACGGCTCAGAATACTGAGCTCAACGGTACAGTCAGAGAGGCGTAAAAAAAAAAAAAAAGCTGAAATAATTGCCCAAGTAACCTTAGATCACCAAAAAATGGAGTTTTGTCCATGCGGAGGAGGACGGTGAAATATTTCACTAATCTCTGCGTGAAAAAAAACAATGATTGTTGGCGCTCGGAAAACTTGTGGGTTTTGGATGCTGGCTGAGTGTGGAATGGAATCAGGCTGAGGTTTATGTGCGTTCTTCAGGAAGGTGAGACGGAGCAATCAGATCTCTCTCTCTCTGACCCTAAATACACTGCATCAGCACCCGAAGCACGCTTGCTAAGATTTTTATACAGATAGGCATTATTAACAGGCATTTAAAGCATAGCTCAATGGACTGATCAGCGCAGTGGTTAAAAAAAAAAAAAAAATTTCCACCAAAAAATACAATTTCATTTAAAGGGCAGACTTTTGATGCTTTAATCACCCGTGAACTTGGATAATTGAGATCTGCCTGCTATAGATCATTTCTGTTGGATTTTTAAAAACAAATTCTTTTAACCTCCTGTTGCATTGTATTTAATAGAAAAATAAAATTGAAAATCAAACTAGGAAAGTAGACTCTGTAATGGCTGCAGAAAGTGGACAGACCCTGGAAGAACCCAAACGTAGAAGTTTTTCTGCCAGTGTTCCGAGACATAAAAGGAACCGTTAGCTGGTTTAAAATTCTCCAACATTTACTAAACATTGCAATATCAGTTTTGGGTGGAGTGACCTTTCATCCCCTGCTATAGCCTCGGCATCTTGTGATAGCACATAAGTAGCCTATTACTGGGATGCATTCAACGAGACATGGTGACAAAATCAAAACACAGGCAATAGGCTCTATTCACAAAGCTAACACACCGGGATAAAGATCTTTTTTTTTAAGTGACCAATATTTTCAAAAAAGATTAAAAATGACAGTCACATGACTGAAAATAAAGATCCTTACCCTTGCATTAAAGCTAATGACAGTTTTGGTATTCTGCTTATTTAGACATTTGTATAAAAGTAAATACATCCACATAAACATCATTACATTTTTAAAATCACTTTCTGCATGTTCAAAATCATAAAACAACTTTTTAAAAAACTTTTGTAAAGTTTTACAACTTTTGTCTAAAAAGTGCCAATTTTTATATCATGTCCTATCAGTTGTTGCAGATAGATATAAAAAGGACTGGTATCAAAAAAAGTTGCATAAAACTTTATTTATTAGTTTCTCAGAATAAGAGAAATGAGCAAAATGGGGAAAGTACTTGTGGCTTCTAATGCAATCACAATACATTTGACTTGCAGGTCTCACTCACACAACAGGCGGTGTGCTCACTTACTTTCTGCAGCTCCTGTTGCTTGTGCTCCCCCAGCAGCGCTCAGTCCTGTCTGCAGTCCTGTGTAGTATTCCCAGTGCTGATGTGATGTTGCAGTCCAGTACTCCAGGAAGGAGCTGTGTCCTTTGGCTGAGTGTGAGCAGAACTGAATTCCTTCTCACTGAGCTCTTAATAAAGACAAAACTGTGACATCATAAGCTACATTCCCCTTTTCAACTAAACAGCAGTCATGTTGGTTCATTGATGGTGAAGCATGTGACCCCCCCCCCCCCCTTGACACTCCTCACATATACAATACAGTACATAGCCAATGCCAAGAGCAATGGAAGGAGTGTCCTGTGGGCTCACCTGTCACTTTCACACCCTTCCTTGTTAGCTGTCTTCTGGGGTGTCTCTACCATTCTGTATAGAGACAGAGATAGAAAGAGCAAAGAGAAGAAGAGAGAAAAAGAGAGGGATAGACAGGGGTAGAGAGATATATATATAGAGAAAAAGTATGGAGGTAATAAGAGAGAGAAAAAGAGAGAGATGGACAGGGGTAGAGAGAGATACATAGAGAGAGAAAAAAAAGTATGGAGGTAATAAGAGAGAGAAAAAGAGAGAGATGGACAGGGGTAGAGAGAGATACACAGAGAGATAGAGAAAAAAAAGTATGGAGGTAATAAGAGAGAGAAAAAGAGAGAGAGAGATGGACAGGGGTAGAGAGAGATACACAGAGAGATAGAGAAAAAAAAGTATGGAGGTAATAAGAGAGAGAAAAAGAGAGAGATAGACAGGGGTAGAGAGAGATACATAGAGAGAGAAAAAAAAGATTGGAGGTAATAAGAGAGAGAAAAAGGGAGGGAGGGAAAGAAGAGAGCGTTAGCGTGAAAGAAAAGAGAGAAAGGTGAGAGAGAAAGCAAGGAGATGAGAACAAGAAAGAAAGAGAGAGAAAAAAAAAACAAAAACAAGGAGATGGATAGATTGAAAAAAGAAGAGGGATAGAGAAAGAAGGGGGGGGGGGCAGAGGGAGGAAGGGAAAAAAGAAGGAATATAAAGAAAGGAGAAGAGAGGAAAAGAAAGAGAGAAAAAAAAGGGATGGATAGATTGAAAGAAGGGGGGGGGCAGAGGAAGGAAGGGTAATAAGAGATGGATAGATTGAGAGAAAGGGGGGGGGGGGGGGCAGGGGGAGGAAGGGAAATAAGAACATAAGAGAGGGATATAGAGAAGAGAGAA